ACTTGCTGCCCCCGTCTGGAGCAGTTGGGAACTGAAGCTTTTGATCCCTTCTTGTCTGGTTCTGTCTCATTATGAGTCAGCATTGGCATGGTTTGCTTACCAGAAGGTGCTTTGCTATAGTGTAAAGAAGTGTCAGGGCATAAATTGCCAGAGGTTTGTTTAGGGAGTTTGCATTGACTCTGAGTAATGCAAGGATCTTTATTCCCTGGCTGGAGGATGAACTCAGTTTTGTGAACCATCTATCTAGGTCTTGCTTTCCTTTTCCCAAGAATTCAAGCTAAAACCATCCTTCTTGGCAGCCTCGGACTAGCTGGAAGTCCTTCCTGATTTGTCACCCTGCCTTAGGAATCTTATCCTTAAAAAGGAGGGTTTGGACTCTTGATCTCTAAGGTCCCTCTGGCTGATTCCATAAAAATATTTATCAGTGAGAAATGTCTATTTAACATAAAGAAACCCTTAGGTATTAAAAGATCCTTCCTTTTTAATGAATAAGATTTCTGGAAATAAAACGAATGCACTTGGTGGAGGGGCTAAATTTCCAAAAAGTTTCAAAATATGAAGTATGCCACTAGGAGGCAGTGTTGACATACAGTTTCATTCAAGCACATCTTCAATACATTTTCTTGAGAAGGTAGTATTTTTTAAAAGATAAACTGAGGTATAGAGATTTCATATAGGACTTAGCAAATTATAGAACAAAAATAAGAATCTAAAACAACTAAGATACTCTCATTGCTTTTCTTTTTTTAATAGCTGAAGAAATTACAATTTCAAAACAGCTAAATCAATCCAAGAATGTTTAGAAAGCAGCATGAACTCTTTCCTAATACATGAAGAGTAGCCATGTTTATTCTAATGATCTTGCATCATCAGGCTTGAGCTCTCATAGGAGAGTAGATATGATTAAGTAAAAAATATCATAGCTCTCAACCTAAGAAACCTGGGTAAAGTTTGGAGAATCTCTCTTTCTTTATTATGTTTTAAGCTATCAAAGTAACATAAGTTCATTGCTCCTCAGCCTTACGGACTGGAGGCATGTAGTTCTGAGTAGGATGGAGAGGACCTAGATAACAACCCTTTCTTGCCCCCTCCCTATTACTCGATATGCTTCTTAGTGGTCAAAATGGGTCAGCAAAGAGAGCAACTCTGGAATTCTGAGAGCAGGACTCTGGGCTTTGAATACTTATTGATTAGGTCCCATGTGACTGATCTTCTAAAAACAAACTTACAGAAATAGGAAAGTTCCCAGAGCTAACATGTCCCATAGCAGTGTTTTTCAAACTACAGTGGGCCAATATAATGGGTCATATAATTAGTTTGAAGGATCTCAACCAGTATGTTATGTTTTATTAATGAAATAGGATGGAAAGGAATGGAATAGAAGATGCCAGAATGGATCACACATTTTGTTTCAATGGTTGAATGATATGTGTTTTACTGGTCATTACATAAATTGTGTTTCTTGCTAAGGGTTGTGTTCAAAGGAGCTTGGAAGGCACTTCTCTATAGCACTTTATCTGTCCCTATCTGGTTGCTGAGCCATTTATGACAGCTCACATCTAATCCTCTTTACTAGTCTGCAAACTTCTTGAAGTAGGATTAATGTCCGAATCACTTTTCTTTAGCCACAGTGATTTCATTAATACCTTATACACGGTGGGTGCTTAATAAACCTGCTTAAGATTTACTTCTTTACTTATTTTGCTTCTAAGGAAACTTCTAAAATATACTTTTAAAATTGTCAGATGCTATTTGTAATATTTTTTGTTCAGCTCATACCAATTTTATGTGTAGGCTGGCGTTAATATGAGCATGGCTTTTTAACCATTTTTTCCTTATTTCTAAGAACTGTGACTCAAACAGAGGAATTTTCAAAACTGGGTTCCACTGAGGCTACTATACAGATTTGAATTTCTGTTTTTCAAAGAGCTCCTTCAGCTGCTGCTCAGTTGTGGCTTCTTTCTGCTGCATCAGCTCAGTTGTTCCTTTGGTCACTCCCCAGGCATCGGGCTTTGAGATTGAAGGGTTGTATGGCCTGCCTGAGGCTACCCGAAGATTCTCCCAGTATTCCTTCCTGGCCCTGAGTGAACAAAATACATGTTAGATTCCTCCCAGAGTGTCGGTCTCCATGTCACTGAACTCCACGGTGTCATCTTTGCACATTTAGTAATCTGGACTAAAACTAAATCCTCCTGCCACTGCCCCAGAATCAGTAGGTCTAAAATTACCTCGAATTCCTTCTTTTTAGCATATGCAAAGGGATTAAAAGCTAAGAATTAGAATAGGGACATTTTCTATCCAGTTTATCCTACCTCCCCATCCTCACTTTTTGGCATTCTGCCTCACAAACCAGCTGAGCACAATTTGAACCAAATCCAGTATTACTTCTGTACTTCTCATTCTATGGATCCTGCCTCCTTCTCCTTACTATCTCCATCGTCTCTGTCTAGTTCAGGCTTCATCATGTCTGGTATCATTTTAAAAAAGGCTTCCTCAGAGGTTTCCCCGTCTCAAGGCTATTAAAACTTGCTAACTTGCAAATCTTCCCTTGTCCTAGACCACTTGCAACACTCCAGTCTCCTCACTGCAATTGGGATGAGGTCATACCCAACTCACGAGCATGAATGAAAGGCTGCCTCTTCTTCCTGACATGTGTCTTCTATCAAATTCTGTCTCTGATATTCTCAATACACCATTCTCTTTGCATCTCTTAGTGCTTTCCTGTAAGCTGTTTCTTGTAGGCCATTTCCTTGTCTGGCAATGTAGTTCACACTTCAAAATTTAGCTTGGGGATCCGCTTTCTCAGAAATCCTTCATTCACCTCCCTCTGCCTTGTGCCCCCATAAGCCATTAGCTCAGACCATACAACATCTGTGCATATCTTTGTCCTTGAACTCTTTATGTCAGTTTGAACTCACATGTTTATTTCTCTGCCTAACTAGACTGTTAACTTCTTGGAGACAGGGTTGTCCCTTGTCCATGCTGCTTACCTTACCTCAGTGTCCACAACAGTGTCTGAGCTGTGCTCAGTAATGTTGGTTGAACAGAGCAGAACTACTCCCTCTGCTTGGAGGACTCAACCCTCCACCCCTTTCCCTATCTTGTGGAAGCCTACTTAGCCCTTCAAAGCCCAGCCAACAAATCCTTACTACTAAAACATCTTTCTATTAGGCAGAGATAGTCTTTCTTTTCATTGTTATTTATTGTTTTTTATCTATGCTTCTATGATTAAAGCAGTTACCACACTATAATACCTTGGCTTTCTTATCTATTTTCCCCAGCATACTGTGAGATTCTTTAAGCTAGGGGCTACAGCTTTTCATTTCTCTATTCCTAATGCCCTTCATACTGCCGGATGTAAAATCTGTTTATTGTTCATCTGCCCCACTGGAATGTAAGCTCTGAGGGCAAAGACCTTTTCTATCTTACTCACCATTGTATTCCCAGCTCCAAGAATCATGCTTGGCACAGAACAGGCACTTGATTACCATTTGTTATACTTAAGTTATACTTAAATCTTAACAATCAATTGATTCAATGTTAGTGTCCCCCACATGGATGGTTTCCTAGAGCATGAAATCACATTTCATTGCAACTTATATTATTTACATTCTATATTCTTAAACATTCCCTAGAAATCACTTTATAAAGATGTTTAATAAATATTTCTGTGAGAGAATTTAAGATGACTGACTCCATCATCACATAGCAAATTAGCTATACTCTTTGTAATGACCTCCCTTGGACATATAATCTGCGTGAGCTTGGTTTGGTAAATATAGTTTAAAGGTTCTTACCTTGCTCTAATCCATGGTTTGGTGTGCATGTCCAAACCACTTCCCCAGGGGCCATGTTTTTCTGAAGCCGGCGGCAAAATTCCCCTTTCTGGGGCCAGTTCCTCTGCAATCGCCCTGATGTGGTAGGGCTCAAATCCACAGCACCCACCGATGTACCTGACCCCCAGGTTGTAGGCTTCTCTGGCATATTTTTGAATATCCCATCTGGTTGCAACTCTGGGCTCCAGTCCTACAATAAACAGCATTATGCCCAAATTCTTTTTTTAAACAAAATGTTCAAAATGAACAGCTGTAATAAATATATAGTCTTCAATAAATGAGATAAATACATTGTCAATATTTAATTCTTAACTTTTAAAAACTATTAGCTACTTTGTGTCTATATATCCAGTTTTAAATGCTGTGGTAGCCAGCCTTCAAAATGGCTCCCAATGAACCCTGCCTTCTGATGTTCTTACCTTGTGCGGTCCATCCCCCTCCCGTGTTATATCAGGTTGGTCTGTGAGAGCAATAGAATATGGCAGAAAATGGTCTCTGGCTTCCGAGGCTACATCGTAAAAGGCATCATGGTTTCTCCCTTGTTCTCTTTTGTACACTTACCCTGGGGAAAGCCAGCTGCCATGGTGTGAGAACATTCAAGCACCACAGTGGAAAGGCCCATAAGCTGAGGAACTGAGGCCTCCAGTCAACAGACAACAAGAAACTGACACCAACTCCCAACAGCCAACTAAAAGAGCTTGGAGATAAATCTCCCAGTCCCCATCATGCCTTCAGATGACTATAGCCCTGGCCAATGATTGGACTGTAACCTCTTAAACCCTGAGCAAAAACCACCCAGCTAAGCTGCTCCTGAATTCATGACCCACAGAAACTATAAGCCAATAAATGCTAAGTTTTACGGTAATTTGTTATACAGCAATAAGTAACACAAATGCTTTGCTATTCCTCTTTTGTTCTTTTAGAGTGAATATTATAATATCTTCTCTGAGGGTGCCTATAGTATATAGGATATGTATGATATAAGGACCTAGGAACGGAATAGGAGGCTGCTCATGCTCTGGCCCTGCTGACATCTCTGGGCTTGATTTTCAAAGTAGACTTACCCTCACTTCCAAAACGCACTGAAAGACTTCATCCCTCTGCCGAGATTGCAAGTATTCCCTTACTTCATCTGCTTAGTTTCTTCCTTCAAATTTGTCATACAGTAATCTAATGATGGTATCTTCTCTCCACCCTCAAACCCTGGAATATCTGAGCAACCATCAAAATAGGAGAAAAGGATCCTGGAGATAACCTGGGCTAACCTTCTTATTTTCTGATGAGAAAATTAAGGTCTAGAGGAATTAAGGAATTTTGCTAAGGTTATGCAACTCAGCAACAGAGCTCGAACCAAAACCCAAACCTTCTCTGATCTCACCATGATCTCACCAATCTAAAAGTATGACTAATTGGTTGTCTATGTAGGTATTGATTCAACTTTGCTTTTACATATAAGTTCAGAGGTCTTTTCTGCTTGTTGGTCCCATCTTTTCCTTCTTCTGCTGTCTAATATCAAAGGACTTGTGGCCTTAGGGAGGGAAGTGAGAGGCTAGAGATGAGAAGATATGCAGCCATTTTTTTACTAGGATAAAGCTCTATGGCTATAGATTTATTTGGAATTTGTCAAACATAAAGACATTGAGAGGGTGTATAGAATGCCTGTCTTACCAAAGGGAAATTCTGGCAGATCGATAAATCCCTGTTTGTTGCAGTCAGGAGTGTGGTAGGCCAAGGGCTGAGTCATCAGGTGGGCTTTCAACCGGGCAGCCTGCAGGCCTTCTTTCATGAGCTTCACTGTTTGTAAACTAATTGTGGGGTCAAAATGGCAGTTCACGCCAATGATGGAAGCTCCTGAAAGTGGAAAGAACATTTTAGCTTTGGGGATTCACCACATACAGGGAGGCCCAGCTCTCCTCTAAATCACAGGGCGCTTTTATTTAGAATGGTGAATTTAGAAGTACAGCATTTGAGCCTTGCTCCCTGCAAACTTATCTTACCTTTAGGCAAGAATGATTACAAACAGGCAGCAAGTGCTTTCTGTGAGAAGTGCTTTGAAGAGTCTGGTATAATTGAAGTGTCATTTATACACACTTGGCTGTCCATCTTTTTTTTTTTTAATCATTATAAGAATTTTTTTTAACTTCAAATTTTAACAGTCAATTTTTTCATTTTGAACATTATATTGCAAGCATAATCATTTTTCAGCACTCCCAGCTTCTCGATTGTACCCGTGGTTACTGTACCACTCATTTGAAGAATAAATCAATGTTCCCTTTCCTCAGGCCAATTTAATAATATCACTAATCCAGATTTCATGAGCAGCAGAGCTGCTGCCTGCCGCAAGCTGTGGTATTTGGTACTTTGTGGCAGGCGTCTCCTTACTGGGTTGGGTCTACAGTTTGCTCTTCATTTTTTGTTCCAATCAGGCCTCCCTCCCAGTCATTCCTCTGAATCAGTTTTTGTCAGGGACACTGATGACCTCAATCTTACCAAATCCAGTAGTCGCATCTCTGATCTCCTTTTACTAGATGTCTCAGCAGCTTTCAGTCTAGAGGACCACTCCCTTCTTCATCAACACTCCCTTTCTCTTGGCTTCTGAGAACTTCCCACACTCCCTGAGTGTTGCTCCTATTTCCCTGGCTTCTATTTTTGGATGTTATGCACCGACCCCTCCTCAAGTCTGAACCTTTCAATTCTGCATCATTCCAGGATCCTACTGAGCCATCTTCTGCTCTTCACCCACACTTCCTTTTTAGTCCCAGGGCTTCCAATACCTCTAGCTCCAGAACTCTCCTAAATTTCTCTCTCTAATCCTGACCTCGCCATTGGATTCCAGACTTGTATATCCAACAGCTTACTTAACATCTCACTTGGATTTTGATTTCTCCATTTTTTTTCCTTTCCTTTATTTTTTTTTGGGGGGGGGGGAATATTCTGCTGCCAGAGTTTTTCTTTCCTTGCTTGATGTTATTACACTCATGAATTAATTATACCCTGGTGAGTTATTGGATGTCTATTAGGTATAAGGTTCCTTGTGAGGGGTTCTAGAAAAATGTAAATATAGGACATAGTCGTTGACATCAAGGATTTTATATTTTAATACAAAGCTTCCCAAGGTTGCTATATGAAAATAAGGTTCTCTGATCAATTAAGTTAGATAGTAGCTATTTACTATGTCTATGGGATGGATAAAAGGCTCTGAGAAGTTCTGCAGTAAATAGACCTGCTTAATTTGGTTTAATATAGCATTTTCTAAATGTATTTGACTACAGAACCCTATTAACATTCTCATAGATTGGAAAATGTCAGTTGAGGATATTCCAAATGAGGAGTATAAATGGAAGGTGTTATAGTTGCTGAGAAGAGGTGATCATTTGGTGTAGAGATGATTATATAAGGGTATATGGAGGTAGAATTTGATCTAACATTGGAAGATAGACTAGATTTATTAGATAGACATTTATTAAGGACCTATTATGTGCTAGGCACAGAGTACTCAATGCTGAGCCAAACAGAGTCTCTGCTGTCTTAGATCTTACAATCTAGTGAAAGAGTCAGACATTAAAGAGATAAATGAGATAAGGGTTAAGTGCTACAAATGATGTAAAAAAGGTATTATGATTTTAAACACTGTGGCCACCTACTCTGAACAGAATGGTGGGGGAAGGATGAATTGCAGGCCAAGAATCCTTGCCAATTAACAACGAGGATTGTGAAGGCCTCCTCTGATCTTTTTGAGACAAGTTAACTTGCTTCTCTCCCTATTTTTATATTAACAAAAATTAAGATAATACGATTTCATTCCTAAATATAAATAATTGTTATTGTTAATGAAAAGTGGGAAGTGACTTTCCTGAAATATTAGGATTTAGATAAAAATCAGAAACAAAAAAATAGCCAATCAAAATCTCTCTATTCCATGGAATGAGTCGGACTCTTTCACTGACACTGAGCTATTTCTTGGGTTTAAATTGAGGCAGATTGGAAAACAATCTGTCTTTTTCCTAATTTAAATGAAATTCAATATTAGGAATGGAAATTATATAAAAAGATAAATTAGGTGGTCAGTATTTCATATCAAAAGATTTTTTGATTTATTATACCAATTACAAAATGCAAAGCATACCCATAATTTATGAGAATGGAAAAACTTTGGCAAAGAGGGCAACTGACTTAAAAGTTATTAAAGTTTAAATACTTCGACTTGAGATAAATTAAAGATTTTTTCAAACACAGTTTTTCCTAATGCTGCTTTTGGTTTACCAAAATTCTTCTTATTCCTAATTGTTAAACCTTCAGCATAAGTCTAGTTGCTCGAAGGCTGGTATGTATGTATATCTTTTTTTTAAAAAGAAAAACAAAATAAAACATTTTTCTCTTTAGGACTCAATAATAATATTATCAATATTTCTAAAAAAGTTCAGAAATGGTTTTCCTGTTAATAAAGGTAGTATATAGTGATTCATAAACAGATCTGAATTTGTATGTCATTTTAAAAGACTCACTAATAGCAAACCTATCAAAATCCATCATCACCTGCTTTAACCAGGCGCACTGCACACTCGCCAGGGGTCACGCCATGCAAATCTCCTTCTGGGCCAATGCACATGGTCGCTGCCACTGGTTTTCCAGATGCCTTCAAGGCTTCAACCGCCCACACGGCCTCTTCAACGTGTTCAAAATACTGAAATAAGATAAGGTTAAGATACTTTTAATCTCATTTCCCCCAAACAATTTGAAAACTTATTTTATTGATTAATAATTTAATAATTACCAGGCGACTGACCTTAAAACTCTGAATTTGAAATATTTTGAATATTAAGAATTTGACACTGAGACCCACTAGCATTTTAAAAATGGAATAGAATGGCGATATCTTATTGTGGATTGCCATCAAAAGGTTTGAAGAACACTATTAGATTAACTGAATCAAATTTAGTAGAAGCTCTAAATTGAAAAAAGATTTCAAAACTAAATATTACTATTACTAGTCATGATTAGTACCTAATAGCACATGGTCCTCATGAAAACCAAAGGCAGAGAAAAATGTACTAAGTGTACTTAGTGTCCCATCTTTGATTATATCTTTGTTTACCTCTGCAATCAAGAAGTCCACATTCTTCCTTATAAAGACCTCTAACTGTTGCTGAAATACTTTTTTAACTTCAGTTTCACTCTTGCAGCTGAGGTATGAAGGTGTCTGACTCACGCCTCCTGCCACGAAAGCGTCTCCCTCATCAGCCACTTGCCGGGCGATATCACAAGCAGCTTCATTGACTTTCTGCCCCTAAACGGTGAGTATATAATACATCTGCATTTTCATGTGAAATTGAAACAAAATTATTATTCAAATGTCCACATCTCAGTTATATGTCACAATAGTGATTTGATTCCAGAAGGTGACAGTGATGGAATACTTCAGTGCTTTACCAGGTCGAGCAATTTGCAGTAATAACAACACCAATAATTGTAATGAAAAAATAAATCTAATGATGGTATCTAGGATATTACATTATACCAAAGGTCTATGAGAGGGTAGAAGTCTTTACATAAAAGATTTGGTCTCTTCCAATGTCTAAGCTGCACTTAGAAGAATACCTATCAAATAGCAGTGATACTGATGATAATTTGCCTTTGTGATTAATAAGAATAAAATTCAATTAAAATGACTACAGAATTTATGACTTTTTGTCTCTCTGTATTTTCTTAATTAACAGGTAAATGTATCACAAGTAAGGTTTTTTTTTTTTCATTATTTAGATATTAAAAATGGACACTTCAAAAACCCCAGTGTTGTAAGTCATGCAGACTCATGGAATTTTGAAACTCCTTTTTTGTTTTAGAAATGAAGAAATTGCCACCTTAATGAGAAAGGTAAATAGCTTGCCCAACATCACACAGTAGATTGTAGCTAAGCGAGGAAGATTCCAGGTTCACTGACTCTTTCTGCCTATAGCCTTTCCCCTACACTGTGCAACATTAAAAACCTGTGAGGATCTAAGAATTTGTAAGGTTACCCACTCAGCAACTAGTTAGGAAACTGAGAGAATCACAGTTTCATTAAATCAGTTTCATTAATCATTAAATATCTCTTCTCTGATATGCTTCATGAATACCTTTCTGTCAATTTTGAGGTCTCCAGATAAAATCTAAGAGTGTTATTCACATATATCTCATTTCTGTATTTTGAAAACAAAACAAAACTCTGAAGAGGCTCAACATTTTTCTCTATGAGAACTTTGGTGATGACATGTATATCCACTATACCCTTCTGAGAGTGCCATGCATGGTTTTACTCACGGATATTTTCTCTGCAACATAGTTTCCCCTGTTCTCCAGCTTGTCTTCACTCCCATAAAAGGTGAAGGTCTGCAAGACATTTGATCCAGCTCTGAGGAACTCTCGGTGAAGCTGGCGAACTGGGAGATTGAATGAAGAAAGGCATTAATTGCTATCAGTTTATTAATCGATGATGCTTTCAAAAGGCACATACCCACACATCTCTGGTAGCAGAGTAGAATAAGAATTGGAGCAAGGTTCCAAAACATGTCCTTGGATGAATGCCAGATGGCAAAGCTTTCCCTGGTTAGAAGAAATATGATAGGAGTTTTTTTTTATATATATAACCAAATGTATTCAACTTAAAGAATTACCTATTCTTTGCTCTAAAATAGTGGTCCTAAATCCTGGTTGCCCATTAGATAACTTGCAAGCTTTTAAAAACTTATAGAATCTAGGGTCAATCTCACAGATATTCTAATTTAATTGGTTTGGAGCAGGGCACAGACTGTGTTTTTTTTAAGGGTTCCTCAACTTATTCTTATTTTTAGCCTTGTTGAGAACCTCCATACTAAGACAGTGAAATAATGCTCATTTTATAAAGTAATAGTGAGACTTATCTGGTTTTTGTTTTGTCAGGGGAATTAACTGGGCAAAGTAAGAAATCAGCAATCTAATATCAGCCCCTGAAATTTACTTTGAAATTTCAGAGACCTATGAAATCTAAGGGTCTGGAAACAACTACACTAGAGGCTAGGAAGTTACCAGGACACTGGAGTTCTGAGCCCTCGGGGGCTAAGACTGGCTATGAGTCTGGCATCTTTGCATCCTAGGTGCCTGGTAGACTGCAAAGAACATAGAAAGCTCAATGGTTTTGGTTTTTTTGTTTTCATTTTTGTTTTTACAGTGAAAAAAATTTATATTCAGAATTAGCCAGCTAGACTCAGTTTAGAGGATCCCGATTTTGTTGGTAACATCCAAAGCATCATAGTCGGGAGCCTGTTGAACACATGCCTTCTTATCTCCATCCAGCCATTATCTGATCAGGACCTTGACCTTGGCCACGTCAATGTCATAGAGCTTCTTCACAGTCTGTCTGACCTAGTGCTTGTTGGCCTTGACATCCACAATGAACATGAGCGTATTGTTGTCTTCTATGTTCTTCATGGCTGACTTGGTAGTCAGGGGAGACTTGACGATGGCATAATGGCCAGGCTTGTTTCTCCAGGTGTGCTCTTCTGAGGGTGTTTGGGCTGCTTTCAGAGCCACAGTGTCTTGGGCCCTTGAAAGGTGGATGACGTGCGTTATCTTCTTCTCTTCTTCTTTCTCCTTCTCCTTCTCCTTGTCCTTGTCCTTGTCCTTCTCCTTGTCCTTCTCTTTTATTTTATTTTTTGTGTGCGTGTGTGGCTGTAGACACCTTTCAACGCTGCTTTCTTTGCCTTCAAAGCTTTTGTTTGGCTTCGGCTTTGGGAGGGGTAGGGGCTTTGTTCTTCACTTTCTATGCCATCTTCATGGAAAACGCTCAGTTTTTGTTTTCAAATGGACAAATAAGTGAGTCAAAAAAACTCCTCTGAATTTCAGGAAATGGGTTTCTAAGCTTGAAGCCAAATCTTTGTTTTTAAAATCATGGACACTTTAATTCTCAGTGGGAATTTAAAAGGATACCTAAATTAGGGGGCTTTGAACTTGTTTTAATTAGCAACAGAACCAATGAAAAACACCTGATGTGGGTATTCATGTATCAATCAGATGAGCTGCTACAGTTGGAGCAGGGGTTGCAGGGCCTATAGAGTAGGTTTCTGTACACTAGAATGACACGGTTTATAAACAGGAAGTCCACCCAGGTTGTCTTTAGGTAGATTTCCAGAGACTCTGTGGAAAAACCTTGGACTGGTAGGCAAATTGTTTGTGTACATATGCATTTTATAGTGCAGAGGGTCTATATCCTTTTATCAAATTTTTTCAGAGGGTGGTGACCCACCTCCTTGTTCTTATTGATTTGATTATCCTACCATGCTTCTTAAAACTGAGGTGCTTCTCAAAATGTGACCCAACTTGGACTTACCTCGGAGGGCAATTATTATAAATTCATATTCCCCAAACCCTTCCAGACCCAGCAAACCCGAATTCCTTGCTGAATTCAATGCTGATTCCAGTGGGTGCAAGAACCACCACTTTTGCCATAAACATCAGTAGAATAATTAATCTGATAATTTCTGGATATCCTTTCAATTTCTACTTTTTTTTTTCTCTCATCATAAGACTCCTGAGTCTTCATCCTCTAACCAGTAATAGGGTGTGACTGCTCCCTATGACAAGGACACAGCCTGTACTAATTAATTACATTCCTGTATGGTTTTAAACCCTTCATTATACTAGTTTTATTTTAGCACCATAGAACCTAAATGTTACCCAGTCTCTTGACTAAGTTGCTGAGTGGGTATCCTTACAAATTTTTATATCCTCGCAGGTATTTTTTAATGTGACATGATATAGGGGAAAGGTCATAGGCAGGAGTCAGTGAAACTGGAATCTTCCCGAGTCAGCTACAATCAATTGTGTGATTTGGGGCAAACTATTTACCTACCCCATCAAGGTGGCAATTTCTTCATCTCTAAAATGAAAAAGGAGTTTCAAAATTCCATGAGTCTGTGTGACCTATAGCATTGGGGTTTTTTGAAGACAAGTATCCATTTTTAATGTCTAAATAATAAGAAAAGACCTTACTTGTGATACATTTACCTGTTAATTGAGAAAGATAAAAATTCAGAAAAAATACAGAAAGACAAAAATTCATGAATTCTGTAGTCATTTTAATTGAATTTTATTCTTATTAATCTTAAAGGCAAATTATCATCACCCTCACTGCTATTTGCTAGTTTGTCTTCAAAGTGTTTCATAGAGTGTGTTTAGTTTTTGGGGGGATGAAAAATGTTTACAATATTCATGCTCTGGATGAGAGTGGTGGTCAGTTTTCATGCTATCTTACGTAAATGAATTTGTGTATCTGCAGGTGGTTTTCTAACTTAGGCTAGGTGGTAGCTAGAATTGAGATGGACCCTGAAAGTTTTCCTGGCAAGCTAGATTGCACCTGAAACATTTTTGTTAGAACTGGGCTTGACTTTTTATAGCTGGAAATGACGAGAAAGGGGAGGTTATGCTATAGAGCCACAATCATTTTTCCAAGCCTTTTTGGGACCAAATGTGTCTTGGAATCCAGAATTTTGAGGAATTTTAGAAAGTTAATGTAATACATATATATTGTATATTATGCAACACTCATCAAGGCCTGAAGCAATGCCCCCCCATCAAATACATTAATACTTTATTTTTTTGCATCAAAATATATGACTACTCTCACTAAATGGTATCCAATTATAAATACCCTCACATTAATTCAGGTCACATTTTATCCCTAAATGATTTTGCTGCAAATATATTATCCCACTGACAAAATTCTGCAAAATTTTATTTGACCTTTTAGAGTTCACTGTGGAATTCCAGACTTTCATTTCTCAAGTTAAATTTACAACGGTACTATCTAACTGTGCTCTGTACATATATAACTGGGAGATATTATATATATATATACATATAATCTCCCTCAGGTTGCATCCCACTTCCCCTCCTGGCCATAAAAGATTTGTAGTCAAAAAAGAAAGTGAGAATAAGGTGTGTGGGTATGTGTGCAGGCTATGTAGATAATTAAATTTAAACAGGGTACGGCGAGTATACAATGAATTTAACCAGTTGGCACATATACAATGGAGGCTATCTGCAAGACAGTGATTGATACTGTAAATCATAACTTAAATGGGTAAGGAGGGAAGGGTGACACATGTAGAAGAATGGATAATAAACACTAAAATGGAAGGGATGAAAGACTGAGAATTCTTGATGAGGTTGAGGAATGGCAGTATTAGAGAGAGTGAACAGAAAAGATAGGAGGGTGGTGGTCAGAGACTGAAGTACTGGTAATTAAGATTTCAGAGGTGGACAGCTATTGGTGATGGCAAGGCCTAGGAGTGGGCTGCTCAGATGAGGGCAGAGGGAGAGTTCAATTGGAGATGAGGAAGAGATCAAGGCACTAATGGGAAGAGTGCTGGAATCTGAAGTCACCTAGGGAAGTAGGAGAGGGAGGGGCAGAGAGGAAGGCAGTGAGCCAGGTACTAGACTCATCTAGAGTGAGGGGCAGAGACTAAAAGGTAAACATAGGTAACAGCAATAAGGAGGGGCATTATGCTTATCGACATGTGAATCCATACTTACATACCCAACACAGTGCCCAGCAGGCAATAATAAATATTTGGAAAATGTGGCATGAATGCATCTGTTTGACGGTATGCTTCTAGGTTTGGGTCAACATAGTGGTCTTTTATGAGAACTTCAAACAGAGCAATGCACCAACCTGCTTCTGGGTGTTCCACAGCAGCCTCCGGGGTCCAGGGGCCTGCCTTCACATAGCCCCTCTTCTCCAGTGCAAAGACAAACCCTCCATCTCCAATCACAACCTCTCCAGAGTTTAAACGTTCTAGGATGCCCTAAAATTTCAGATGAGGGGGAAGAAAAAAAGCTACTTGAGTTTTTAAGACAATATTCTATTTGCCATACTTTTACTATCATATTCTTGAGATGTATGGGTTCTTTAGAATTATCAGAAAGTACATGTATATTTATAAATTCACATTACTGTCCTATAAGGCAAACAACCAGCATGCTCATATACTGAAAGTCTGTGTATACACGTGTGTGTTGGGGAGGGTTAGGGGGGAGGTGTGGTCTTTTAGAACACATTAAAGAGCTTTGAAGAATATTGTGGGAGGATGTTATGTTTGAAGAAATATCTGCAGAAGAATTAAATGAAAGTTTTTCTTGTAAAGCCTCAAACAAAAACTTAAGTACACATTCTTAAAATGGTGAAGACTAGTCTTTCTTCTTTATCTATAAACTAAAATGAGGTTAAAATTGTTAAAGAAGTTGTAGCGGCATATAATGCTATTAAGTCATTTTGAAGACTGAAAAGTCAGAAGACACTTGGTAAAGACAGAAAGAAGAAGATAACTACCACAGAGATGGCCAAATCCCATAAAGACTTGTATCTTTGTTGTTAGAATTCAGTCTCCACAACAGCAGCTATGCTGTGCTGTCCAGGAGGTTATAAGCATGCATGTTTGCATTCTACAAGTGCAAGATGACAAGAATAGGGAAGATGCAACTAAATAAGGTATTTGTAAATGATTTCCAGCCCAGTCTCCCTACTGATTCTATTTATAGTACTATACAGTAATTACCCTGGTGTTAATGTTCAACAGATAAATTTGAATTTAATGTTTTTACAGGCTTTATGAATTAGAAAGTAATTTTCTAGTTTAACCATTTAAAAAATTTTTAAAGAATAATAGGATTTAAAAATAAAAGGTACTCTACATTCAATTTAGGTTACTCTCTCTGATTTTACAAATGTATAATTAAGGCCCAGAATCTCTGAGTAATGTATGCAAAGTCTCCCAGGTGGGAAGTATAAGGCCTCCTGACTGTTTTATCCTTAAATGATGTCTAGATTTGATTTTAAATAGGGGTGGGAGTGCAGGGAGTGCGTGGTCTTTAAAAGACCACGTAAAGGAAAAACTTGGAACTACTTAGCTATTGTGTTCTATTTATTACCATAATGGTTGGTAAAACAAATGCTGATATAACAAAGGTTACATAAATCTGAGAGAACCATTCATAGGATTTTGCATCTAAATCCTGACTACCTTCTTAGAGTCTCCCTTATTTTAATTCTCTTCCCCTGCACTGCCCCTTCCTATGCCATTTGGTCAGGTAGTACTCGGAGGGAAGACACAACTGACATTTTCACTTTAAAGCAGTAAAATATGTTCCTGATATCCCTTCCAGATAGAGAATTTTTCAAGCATAGAAGTCCATGAGATAACAAACAACTACAAAAATACAGAATTGAGCATATGTAATTTTGAAATCCAAATATCTATCATGATTTCAATGTGTCTAAATGCCACATCTTAAAACCACAACTTTGATCATTATGACCTAATTAACAAGATATATATGCATATAGCTAGGCAGTGGAGTTATATAAAAAATATGAACAAGAATCAAATAAATGAAATATGACTTGCTACTTTCATTTGACAGAAACAACTCATGGCATGTTGTTCAAGTCAGTTAGCAACTCTCATTCAACATGTGTATGTTTTTATACTCTAGTACCACAAACATTTAAATACACAGCATAGAAGAATCTGGTGTTTACTGGTGGAGTGGCTAGTGATAATTCCATTACTATACTGTTCGTAAATTTGTTGAGCTATTACATCTGAAAAAACAATCGCTTAAATTTTAGTGCATTTTTTAACTACCCAGAATGCAGACTTTTCTGTTCCTAAGCTAAATAGCTTTTTTGAAAAAGTGGAATGTGCTATGAAAAAAATGCTCGAGATATTATTTTGTGAAAAAGTATTACAGAACAGTATGTGTAATATCAGACCATTTTTTGTATAAAAGTACATATTTGCCTAGACAACAAACTAGCAGCATATACACCAAAATATAGCAGATGGTGTTCATAGTGCTTTTCCAAGTCGTTAACAATGAACATGTGTTAGCTTTGTAACATATATTTTAATTTTAAACTCAAAAGTATAGACATATTATTGTCCATGTTTTAACACTGACATATGCATGGAAACAAGGTTACCAAAGAAACATTTTTTTTTTTCTATTTTATGTCCTTCTGTTGCTTATATGTTCCTTTAAAGATAATCCTTTAAAATATTTCATTTTCTGAGTTTGAGTTTGGGGAGAGGGTTAGAATCCATGGTATGTAAATGGGGCCACCCAATTAAAAAAAAATTTCTATAGGAATTATACTTTCCAGTCTACTTCGACTATTTATTTAGTAGATTTATGGATTGTGAAAAATTCTCAACCTCATTGAACTAGTGATACCTATAATCGTTTGCCATCTCAACAGCTTCCTCAGGCCATTGACATACATCTATTAATGCTTCATAGCATTTTAAAATTTTAACTGAATTAACTTTTTTCTTTGTGTGGGGATCTTTTTTGATTTGGGGGCCATATCCTTAGAAACCTGGCATAGCATTGGCTGGCAATGACAATGAAAGGTAGACCTGCCCTCACGGGTCTTACAGCCAGGAGGTACAGATGGCCTGCCCCCGCCCCTCCCCCCCCATCTCCCTAGCATTCTCTGGGGGCCTCTGTCCCTCAGGCCACAGGCTAGGCACCGTGAAACCCAAGGGTCATGCATATTCCCTCCTCCAAGGTCATCCTTCTCTTCCTGCCCACCCAGCCATATCCTGCGGTCAGTCTGTCCATCCCTAAACTAGAGTCTGGACTGGAACACTTATCCCAACAAGGGAAGTTGCTTCTTGTTATCGGGTGCTGGAGCTGCTGTTTTAAAAATCTTATTAACAGCCCTTTCTCAATATCTTGAGGCCTCTGTGCCCAGTTTCGAGGCCCGCACAGTGCATTTTGTTGTGATCGCTGAAACCAAACTGCAAGAGAAAACATACCATCGCCCAACCAAGCTGTCGCGGGTCTTTTGCGCAAGTAGAACCCTGCAGAGAGGGTCCGGGAGACCCAGCGCGGGCTGGGACGCGCGGGTGGGAAACCGTCGGAGGCCGCACCGGAGCACAGAGCGATGCACAGGGCGGTTCGGATACAGACACTCAGGAGTCGGGGGGCCGGGGGGAGAAGGGCAGGGTATACTACAAGGCGCTCCTCTGTCTCACCGCCTTGCGGGGAGGAGACGCTCCTGTGAGCCTAGGAGACACCTATGGGGGAGTGCTCTGGTGTTGCAGTGCAGGACCCAGAAGATGTTGGGAGTCTAGGAGCTCTGAGGGCGCCCTCGAGTTGGGGAGTTCACATAGACCTCATAGATTCCTGCCCATGTTCTGAACATGGGCAGGAATGGGGGCCTCAGAGGTGCCTTGGGGTCCTGCAGGAGAACTTCTGGGAGCACCTTCTGGTCACAGCCGGGCTCCAAGGACCCTTCTGTACTCCTCGAGGCTGGGGTGCCGGGCCAGCAGGTCCAGACCCAGAGCCTTGGCCGGGACAGAGAGCGCCCACATGTTCCCCGAACACTTACCTTCTTGGCCTTTTTGCCCCCAACGGGTGCCATCTTCACGGTGTCCAAACGGGTACTCGGCACGGATACGGGGGTGGAGCACCGAGGCGAGCGTTTCCCACTGAGAAGCCCGGAGCTGCCCCTCGGCGGCGGCCAAGCCCTTTATAGTCCTTGCTCAACCTCCACTGTCCCCCGCAGGTCCTGGGCGGGGGACACGCCCACCAGCCTTTTTTTGAGGCTGCGGCTCGTTGGGAACTTATCCTACAGAGAAGACGATCGAAACTGTCCTCCCAAATGGGTGAAAACATCGATAAGTAAAATAAAAACAAAAATTAATGAGGTCGACACTCGCTCAGGGTTCAAACCTACCTGCTCATTCGTAGTTTCTCTTTGCCCCTCAATAGTCCCTGGCCCTGATTTACCTCTCTTGCCTGGGATCATGCACCGTTACCTATTTAAGTTGCCCGTAAAGGCATTCATGCCCAAATATTTGTCAAAGGCCAGGGTACAAGATTATTGGATGAGAAGGCAATGCCCTGGAAATCAGCCTAAAGTGTCATCTATGTGAAATACATCCAGCAGTTATATAATATAACACAAATAATGGCATTTACAGAAACATCCGATGCTAACCCTGAATTAGACATGTTCAAAATGACCTTCTCCCTTTATACCAAACATGCCTTGCAGTTTCTAATAATACAGTGGTTTCTCATAAGAATATCTTCATAATATTTAACCAGAGCAGACTTTACAGCATAATGAAAACATACTTTAGAGACTTCCAAATTTGCTGGCAAAGCTGTATGTAAAAATATATAGGCATTACAAAAACTGAAAGGAAATAGAAATGTTAACAGCAGTTATCTGCTGATGGTGGAATTAGGGCTTGCTTTTATTTTATTATGGTTTGTTGTATTTTCCAAAGCACCATAATAATGAGAACATATTGATTTTAAATAATAAAAGCATTACTTTTAAAAATATACAATATGACAGTAAATAGCCTAGAGAACAACTAAAAAGCCTGAAACAGAGTTCAGAATCTTTTACCCAGCACACAGGGAAGCACACAGGGAAATTTTGTACATGAAATAATAACCTCCATTTCAACATATGCAAAGAAGAAAATTGCTGTAGCAAATGATGAATTAATACAAATTTAATGTTTAAAATGATTTGTATTTGAACTATAACTGAGAAAGTAGAAAAGTCTTTTTGCCTCAGATAACTGTCAAGTTTAAAATGAAAAAAACAATAGAAGGATGATGTATGCATATATGTAATTCAAATAATCTAATATTTCACCTGTCCAGCAAGAATGAAGAATAAAGGTAATGTCATTCTTTACAGTTCCTAGGTTGTTGACCATCAAAGCATCGGTGTACCTGAGTAGGTAATAGTTCAATTAGTGTGTTAACTACTTATAGCAGTAACCTTGTGAGTATTGGTGAGACAAACAGGTTCAGAGTGAGCCCAGCTGTGGCTGCAGGGAGCAGCTGCAATGGTGGGTACCAGGTGCTAGGGGCAATAGCAGGGCTCTGACAGTAAAAGCTGAAAGTAGGCATTGTAAATTTCACAGTTCGTCCAAACTCAGCAAAACTTAGAAGAGATTTTAAACTAGCAGCATATAATTTAAAAATAAATCATGAGTGTTTAGTAGATACTATAGACACACATGACGAATTAAAAAAAGATTTTCCCCAGCTACTGTTCCCAGTACAAGTCCTCCCTAGAGATAACCGCTATTACCTGTTAATCATTCTTCCAGAGTAGCTCTATGCATATCTAACTATACCTGTATAGATAAGGATTTGTATTTAAATGTAGGGAATTTTAGTTATTTAAACACTTATCCACTTCCACATTTTCCAAAAACAACTTATAGGCAGCTGTTGAAACAGTTTTGTTTTTCCTCAGCTTCTCAGTTTAGCTTGCCTCCCCATCCCCAGCCCAATAAGGGCCATTAAAAAATTCACCTACTTTTCCCATAATAAATAATAATATCTATAGTTCATTGAGTTCATTCACTGAGGTCACAGTTCAATTACTATATGTCAGGCACTACATTAGGCCTTTTACATACACATTATTATTTACTCCTCACAACATTGTGAGGTAGGCACCCTCTCTTTGTACTCAAGAACCATGAACTCGAGATGTTAGAAGAGTTGTCAGTGTGAGCTCCAAAGTTTCTTTGCCCCATTCCCAAAGGGCTAGATATCTAAGTCTGCTTAGATATCACCTGGGGACTGACTTCTGTCATAACTGTTCTTGGGAGGCTGCCCATGTTTTTTGTTCTCTGCTAGAGCAATGAGATGAGGAAGGTCAGAACACCGAAGTCTTTGGCCTCCTAACTAAGAGATGTTTGGGAGTAGAGATAAACCTTGAATAGAAAGAGAAGGGTTAGAGCTGGAGATCAACTCCCTCAGTTTTATAACCTCAAAAGAGTGGTCTTTCACTAGTGCTTTGCTCTACTTGTAACCCAATTTATTCATTCAACAAACATTTAAGTACCATTCATACAATGTTTCAAACACTTGCTTGTTGCTGGAAGTAAAGGATAGCTCCTCCTTTTTTTCCAAGGACAAGGTGTACACTATCTCATATAAGAGTTAAAATGTCCCCCTTTTCAATATATAGATGGGAAAAATCAGGACTTTTCATTTTCCATTAGATTGAGATCATCTTTAAAAATGAAAATGGCTTTTCACAGATCTCTTGACATTGAAAATGCTTCATTTAGCCTTTAAATCATTGAAAATGGTTTATATTTTAATACCATATAAAAGTGTTTGCAAACGGATAACAGGGAAATGGGGCTAACCTCCATGCTTCCTTTGGCAAGGCCAGTGTTTTTAAAAAATTGAATATGTATTACTTTAGGTGGAGCCTTCCTGTTTGCCAGTCTACCCCACACCCTGTTGTCCTACACTCTCTTGGTTCACATATTTGCCTTAACTTGAAGGCATTTGAGTTTTCAAATTCTGCTGTAAATAGAATGTGAACTTGGGGTTATCTGATACATGTGAAGTGTCCTTTGGTCTGAGTTCTGCCAGATAGACCCTAAGTTGAAGGTTTCACTTTCCTTATATTTTCCTCTTGCCACTAACCCCAGTTATTTTTTTGCTGCCACTGCCCAGGGGTGATGGGGTGGGCTTTTCATCTAAAATCCTTTTCCCTGGGTACACAGCCTTTTCTCACTTTATCTTTTCTGGTAGTGCTTCATTCCCTCTGTTCGTTGCAATGGCTGCATTCAACTTTTATCCCAACACACCAGGAATTTTAAACCCTCACACAATAACTCCCCTTTTAAGAGCCTTGTTTTCTTCACATATAAAATCCAAGTTGAAGCTAGTTGATCTTTCAGATTTTTTTTCATTTGGCTTCACATAAAGTTGGCCTAGGATACACCAGAGCCTTTATAAAATAAATAGTCTTTTCTCAGGGTTCTTTCTATGCCTTCCCCTTTTGGTCAAGTACTTCCTTAGGCTGGCTTGGAGGGTGCTTCTGACTCCTGTTTGTGCCCCCATCTTTTGCCCATTCCTGATTCCTGGAGAAACAGGAGAGTTTTTTGTTTTTGTTGGACAGTTTAGGACTTCCTCCCACTACGGGTAAAAATGCTTCTCTCAGAACTGGCAGATTTGCCAGCCTGTATAGAATCACCTGAATTCCACAGGACAGTCTGCTAGCCAATGTTTCTGTGAATTCCGGACACCTCCAGTTTCTTAAACTATCCTCCCAGCATGGCAATTTCATCCCAATTTCTCTTTCTGTCTCTGAAATATTCTTTCTTATCTTCCACCTTTCTTTTAATGTTTTCTAACAGGGTAATTAGCCTGCCTTCTGCAATCATGTGTCCTTTTGCTTCTGTTCTTAAAAAAACAAACACCGTGGCTCAAACGAGAGACCTTCCTCCCTGGGCAACATGAGCTTCAGCACCTGCTGTAGTTTCTCCATCAGCTACTGGACCCTGGGCTCCGTGCAGATGCCCAGCCACCGGGTCCCACTGGCCAGCAGCGCGGCCAACATGTATGCAGGCACAGGGGGCTCGGGCTCCCAGATCTCTGTATCCCACTTCACCAGTGTCCGCGGTGGCTGGAGGTCTGGGGATCTGGCCGTGAGGATGGCCAGGGGCCTAGCGGGCATACGGGGCATCCAGACCAAGAAGGAAACTATGCAATGCCTGAATGACCACCTGGCCTACCTGGAGAGGGTGAGGAGCCTGGAGACTGATAATCGGAGACTGGAGAGTAAAATCTGGGAACAACCGAAGAAGAAGGGACCCCAGGTCAGAGACTGGGGACATTACTTTAAGACCATTGAGGACCTGAGGGCTCAGTTCTTTGCAAGTTCAGTGAACAATGCCCGCATCACTCTACAGATTGGCAATGCCCACCTTACTGCTGATGGCTTCAGAGTCAAGTATGAGACAGAGCTGGCCATGCACCAGTCTGTGGAGAGTGACATCAATGGGCTCAAAAAGGTCATTAATGACACCAATCTCACTCAACTGCAGCATGAAGAAGAACTATGAAGAGGAAGTAAATGGTCTACAAAACCAGATTGCCAACTCTGGGTTGACCATGGAATTGGATGCTCCCAAATCTCAGGACCTCAGCAAGATCATGGCGGACATCTGGGCCTAGTATGACGAGCTGGCTCAGAAGAATAGAGAAGACCTAGACAAGTACTGGTCCCAACAGATTGAGGAGAGCACTACAGTAGTCACCCTGCAGCCACTGAGATAGGAGCTACTGAGATGACACTCAGAGCTGAGACATACAGTCCAGTCCTTGGAGATCTATCTGAATTCAGTGAAAAATCTGAAGGCCAGCTTGGAAAGCAGCCTGACAGAGGTGGAGGCACGCTATACCATGTAGATGGAACAGCTCAACGGGATCCTGCCGCACCTGGAGTCAGAGCTGGCCCAGACCTGGGTAGAGGGGCAGCACCAGACTCAGGAGGACAAGGCCCTTCTGAACATCAAGGTCAAGCTGGAGGCTGAGATTGCTACCTACTGCCACCTGTTGGAAGAGGGGGAGGACTTCGAT